CAGTCCTTGACCCTCTGCTGCAAGTGCTTCAGGCTCTCCTCAGTTTCAGCAAACAGGGTTGTGTCATCTGCATTACACACAGATTGTTGATAGATCTTCTACCAATCCTGACGCCACATTTCTCCTCATAGAGCCCAGCCCCCCCGGATAATCTGTTCTGCATACAGGTTGAAAAGGTATGGAGATAGGACACATCCCTGGTGTACACCCTTCCCAATTTTAAACCATGCAGTGTTTCTTTGCGCTGTTCTGACGACTGCCTCTTGGTTCAAGTATAGGTTTCTCATTAGCACGGTCAAGTGTTCTGGGTTTCCCATTCTTCTCAGAGTCAGCCACAGTTTCTTATGATCCCACAGTCAAATGCCTCTGCATAATCAATGAAACACAGATAGACATTATTCTGGTATTCCCTGCTTTCAGCTAAGGTCCATCTAACATCAGATACAATATCCCTAGTACAATGATCCCTTCTAAACCCAGCCTGGACTCTGACAGTTCTCTCCTGATGTGCTGTTCCAGTCATTTTTGGATAATCTTCAGTAGAATCTTGCTTGCATGTGAAATCAATGATAATTGTTCTGTAGTTTCCACACTCTGTTGGGTCACCCTCTTTGGAATGGGAACAAATATAGATCTCTTCCAGTCAGTTGGCCAACTTGTTGTTCTTCAGATTTCTTGGCACAACTTGGTGAACACATCCAGGGCAGTATCTGTTAGCTCAACTATGTCAATTGGTATACCATCTACTCCTGGAGCCTTATTTTTGCTATTTCCTTCAAAGCAGCCTGAACTTCTTCCTTCATCACCATAGGCTCTTGCTCATATGTTATTTCATGAAATTCTTCTGTGTCTTCCAATTCCTTTCGATACAATGACTCAGTATAGTCTTTCCATCTTCTTTTAATACTTGCTGGATCATTTAATATTCTGCCTAAAGCATCCTTGATTATAGCAACTGGAGGTTTGAATTTGTTCTTCATTTTCTTGAGCTTAAGAAATGCTGAGTGAGCACGGCCCTTTTGATTTTCTGACTCCCGCTCGTTGCGCATTTCATTGTAATATTTTACTTTGTCATTCGTTCAGCTCTTTAGTATCTTAAATTCTTCCTTGTGCTTTGGCTTCTCTGCACTCCAGTGCAATATTTAGAGTTTCTTCTGACATCCCTTTTGGTCTTTTCTTCCTCCTCTATCCTTGTAATGACCATTTGCACCCTTCCTGGATGATACCCTTGATATCTTTCCACAGCTCATCTGGTCTTCGGTCATTAGTGTTCAAGGCCTCAAACCTGTCCCTGAGATGGTTCTGAAATTCAGGTAGGATAGACTCAAAGTCATATTTTAGTTCCTGTGGATTTCCTCAGCTTCAGCTTGAACTTGCATATGAGTAGTTGGTGGTCTGTTCCACAATCAGCTCCTGGCCTCTGGTTTTCACAGCTCATATTAATGATTTTTGTAAGCACCAAAATAAAGTTCATTGTAAAAATTGGAAGAGGGGAGTACTTGAGTTTTCTATGTCTAATAAAGTCTCCTGAACAGTGCTAAAATGAGAAAAAGGTCATAGCTGTGATTGCTGATCTACTTTTGGCTAGAAACAACTTAGCTGCATCTTTATATAATTTTCAAGTGTCAGAGACAATACTTGGCTTTTTTATGTAGTGTTCTTACTACTATAAATACTTCAAGGTAATAAACCAACCAACAAGAAAAATAAAAGGTGTTTATTTTTAAACAGATGTTTATTTAGTAGCTTAAAGGTGTTTTATTTTTAAAAAGGAGTTTATTTGGCAGCTCTATCTTGTGATACAACTGGATACAGGGATTAAAGTAATGCCATCAAATCTGTATATTCATCTCTTGCTTCTGCTTTCTCTTTTGGTTCTGAGTATTGCTTATGTTTGAGGAATAAGACAGCTCCAACTTCATTTTCTTTGAAGAAGATGTAGAATTTTTGGCTGACATAGCCAGATACTTACTTAGGTTAAGCTGGTTAGGTTAGGATAGTAGTGAACATTCTGATGGACAAGCTATTCTCGATGAGGAGGAATGTTTGCACTAAAGAAAATGTGCTCAGCAGATCAATATTCTGTATTCACATCTCTTTTTCCTTCTACTGGAGAGCATTAGTAATACACAGACCAGTTGTTAACAAAACCAATCTTTGAAATTTTCAGTCTCTACTCCTCCTTTCATTAATAGGTGCTAGACTAACATATGGGAATAATGAGCATCTTTTTAGGTTATTTTAGTGCTTCACTTAGTTATTTTCCTAAAAGAGGAAATGTAAGGTATCCAGGAAGTGATATATTGAGGTCTTTTATCTGCTCCAATAGTATCTCTAATTTTGTGCACTTAAATAGTTAATTTTTCTTTTTATGGCCTTTGTTTCTACATTTGCTTTTTTGGAAGTGCTTGTAAATACTGTGAATTGATTTTATTCTTTAGACATTAGTTGCATACTGATCATTTGTTTTAATTGTGGGTAGGTATTTGACATACAGAGATGAAGAATAAGCTTTCCTTGCTTCTGCTGACCATATGAAATAGGGTTGTTTGTTTCCTTGCTCTCTGTTGCTGTTTCTGTAGACTATTTTTCATCCATTTTTTTAAGTTGTTTGTTTTTTATAACAAGTCATTCATCTCTAATACTTTATACTCTTCTCTAGTGCTATTGAGGCCGCTCAATTTCTCCTTAGTCTTAACTTTTTCAGTCTTTTTAAAAAATTTCCTTATCTATCTTATATACTATATCTTTTTAGAAAAATTCTTGCTTAATCTATTGCATTATATTCCTGTGGCTGCTGTAAAACATTACCAAAATCTAGAGACATAAACACACACACACACACACACACACACACACACACACTCACGTGTTTATTTGCTTACAGTTCTAGAAGTCACAGTCCTAAACAGATCTCACTGGGCTAAACCCATGGGGCCAACAGGACTCTGCTCCTTCTGGAAATCTGTTTCCTTGCCTTCTCTGGTTTCTGGAGCCTGTCCTCACTCCTGGGCCCTTTCCAGTTGTCAAAGCCAGCAGTGGTTTGCCAAACTTTCTCTTTCTTCAGGATGCTGACTTCACTTACCACTTTCTCTGAACCTGACCTTCCTACTTTTCTCTTTCACTTATCAGGACCCTGGTGATTACATTGGGCCTACCTAGATAATGCAAAGTAATCTCTCCATCTCTAAGTTAATCATATTTGAAGCCTTCCTTTTGCCATTTGAGGTAGTGCATTTACAGGTTCCAGAGATTAGGACTGTTGATATTCGAAGCGGTGAGGGTTTACTTTCCCTTTGTTAGTTCTTGTACTCAGGGGACAAAATTCAATCCTTTATAAATCCAGCTATTTTTTATCTTTCTCAGAATTTAAATATCATCAATTTTTTAAAGTATATAGAAGTATGTCTCATTATAGTTTTAACTTCCTTTCTCTAGTGACTGAGGATGTGGCCTTCATGTCCTTTCTTTTGGCTGTCATAGGTGGATCTTGATTTGTGAAGTTACTTATTCAGATATCTTGCCTCTTTTTGTAATTTAATGCTTGTCATTGTTAAACCTTGAAGGTTAAGTTGCCATCACGTCTGCTCCGCCTCACAGTGACCCTGTACGCAGTAACCTGCTACCCTGTCCGGCTCCATCCTCATGATCCGCACCAGCCTAAGCCCATTGTTGTGGTCTCTGTGTCAGTCTTGGCTTTTTAAAAAGTTTTTTTTTTTCTTTTTTTCATTCTTGCTTTCTGAGAGTCATCTTCTCTTCGTTGACTCTCTACTTTTCTCACTCTATTTTTCTGCTTTTCTCAACATATCTTTCCAAGGGTTGGTGCTTTCTAACAACATATACAAAGTAAATGAGACAGCGTTTCACCATCTCTGCCTCTAAGGAGCCTTCTGGCTGCATTTCCTTCCAGACGGATTTGTTTGTTGACAGTCCATGGGATAGCCAATATTCACTGTATACTCTAGATACAAGACCCTTGTTAGATGTTTGTATTGTGATAATGTCCGTTCTGTGGCTTGTTTTGGATTTTTTTTCACCCCATATGGTGCTTTCTAAGAGCAAATGTTAAATCTTTATAAGATTCACCTGACTTTTTTTTCTTACATGATCTGTGCATTTTGTGTCCCCACTTTGTCTGTCCCAAGATCACATATTTTTCTTTAATATTTTAATGTAGAACTTTTATAGATTTGGCATGTTTTAAGGTAAAAGGTAAAGATACATTTAGTAGAAAGTTACATCCCAAATAGAGGTACCTCCTTCCTTGAAAGGAAATATGGAGGAGACCTGATTAATTTTAAATTAATTTTGTGTGTTGTGTTGCATAAAGGTCATTGTTAACTTTCCCCCAACATTAATATTCAGTTAATCTGTAACTTTTGTTTAAAAGGCTTTCTCCTTCTGGTTGGTTATTGCCATGCTGCCATTGTTGTGTACCATCAAGTTGGAACCAAACCATAACTCTAATGAGTGTTCAGAGACAGTAAATGGAATGAAAGGAGCTGGTGGATTCAAACCATGTGCCCTTTGGTTTGTACCACAGTTTCTTGCCACTATGCCACCATATTACTAAGATAATATTAAATATGTTAGAAAGAGAAGGATCATTATTGGTACAGTTAAAATCTTGGCTGTTAATCAAAAGGTTGCAGAAAGTATATTTTAGGTTAAGTCAGTAGACTTAACTTCAGGCTTTGCACTGTCAATTATGTGACTTCTGCAAGTTATTGTTATGAGCCGTCAAATCAAAACCTACATGTAGCTGATCCTCCAGCAGGGTTTTCAGAGGCTAAATATCAAATGAGAGGAGATTGCCCAGCTCTCTCTAGGGGCACAGCTGGTGAATTTGAACCACTTGCCTTTGCATTGGCAACGAAACTCCTTGCTACTAAATCTCCAGCACTCCCTTCTGCAAGGTAGAATGTCTATTTTTAATATTTTTTAACATGTGAATTGATGGAAAATAATGCTAAATTTAAATATTGTATCTTGTGTTTCAGTCTGAAAACTTGGAGAATACAGTAATCATACCAGATATCAAACTACATAGCAATCCATCTGCTTTCAATATATACTGCAATGTACGCCATTGTGTTCTGGAATGGCAGAAAAAGGAAACATCATTGGCAGCTGCATCAAAGAATTCAGTGCAGAGTGGAGAGTCAGATAGTGACGAAGAGGAGGAATCCAAAGAACCCCCTATCAAACTTCCAAAGGTAAATCGCTGACTTTTTAGATACATACTTATGTGTGTGTGGGGAATGAAAACAGAGGGAGTATACCTAGAACACCTTGCTTCCTGTGAAAATGACAGGACTGTAGGTAAAAACAGTCTTAGGAGCAATCAGTATGTGTTCATACACCTTTATAACCAGAGTGTGACTATAGAAAGTTAGTAAACTTCTTCCCCTTTATAAGCTATTGTTTTACCTTTTTATATTTACAAAGTCACTATGATAACTCGATAAGGAGTACTTGGAAAACCCATACCGGGAGATCAGTAGATTAGGGTAGATTAGAGGGATGTTAAAAAGATACCACGGGAGCACAGTGGATGTGCTGACATGAACACACTGCACGCAGAAGTGGAGCTCTGAGCTGGTGAGCTGCCGTTCAGGTGGGCACAAGACAAAGTGCAGATCTGTATGAGCAAAAGGTCACAGAATATTGGAGGTGTTCCCCGATGGTGAGGGAGTCCTAAAATAAAATTCACAGTTTTCTTTTTCTAGAAATAGAGGTTTACGGGCCCCTGGTTGTGTAATAGCTGTACTGAGAATGTTTTCTTTTGCTGCCTAAGATTGTACTTATACTCTTGGTATTTCTTTTCTTCCTTGGCTAGGAAAAAAAATAACCTAGAAACCCACTGAACCTCTGTATCATTCTTACATCAATGTTTTATTTATCAGAAACCTATAAACCAACTAGTTTTGTAGAAATATAGAGGAAACACTGTACTTCTTCTACTCTGTTAAGTATTTCTATAATTTAAGATTCTATGTTACTTTTAATGTACTAGTGGTACAGCACTCTTCCGTCAATAGGCTGTGCCGAGGTTGCTGTGATGCTGAACCTTGTGCCATTAGGGTGTCAAATAGCATAACGATTACTCATGGAGGATAGTGTTTGGTGTAACTCTCAGTTTAAGGCAGGTTTGGAAGCAGGAGTGGCATTCACTTCATAAACAACATGCCTCTGGAAACTGTAAACTTTGAGAAATGACAGTAGTTATAGAAATGTTTAGGTCTTTTGTTCATAGGATCTCTATGAGTCATGCTCAACTTGACAGCAATCAATAACAACAACAACAACAGTGTTACTTTATATGCAGTATTTTTTCTACATTGTTTATGTAGTTAGCATTTTCAGTAGATGAATAAGTGAAACATATGAACATATTTGAAAATGTTAAGGGTCCGAAATTATTTATGCATATTATTTTCTAAATATATATTCTAAAGGTATATTTTAAATGATTTCTCATCAGTGTTTCATGTATGATTTTTAATAAACTGATAAAAAATTATACTCTGAAAACTTACATGTTGTTATGTTAGTTTTATGCACAAAATACTTTGCAATAAATTTCAGTATTTGCAGTCAATAGCAAAGAGAGGACCTATACTCCTTATTTTTTCCTCCAACTTTTAATGATAATTTTATTTGTTTCCTGTGCATGTGAAAGTTAGACAGTGAATAAGGATGACAGGAGAATCAATGCCTTTAAATTGTGGTGTTGGAGAATAGTGCTGAGTATCCCATACACTTGTCAAAAGAACAAAGAAACCTGTCAAAAGAAGTGGAACCTGAGTTCTTAGAGGCAAGGACGGTGAAACTTCATCAAATATATACTTTGGCCATGTTGTCAGGAAGGGCTAGTTACTTTTGAAGGAATTTTTAAATTTATAACAAATACCTTATGACCAAGGAAATAAAAGCTTTGGGAAATTTGTAACTTGATGACTGATGTATGAAGGTAGAGGAAAAACACAATGAAATGCCATTAAACCAAAGAATTCAGACTTTGGGAGAGTGAACCTTTAGGAACTGTTTTGGGCAGCTTTTAAAAGACAAGCAAGGCTGACACAAACATGGGACGTTTAGATTGAAGGTGATGGGCATTTGAGACTCGGTGAAAACATTGGTATTTCCTTTGCTTTAGAACCTTTTTGTACCTCTATTCCAAAGGCTCCTGTTGCTTATCTCAGTTTCTTCTTTTTCTCTGTTGCCTTACCTTTATGCTTGTGTGTGTGTGTCCCTTTTTCCTTTGTCATCTGAAGTTTATCTTCCACTCCTTTTTTCTCCTCATAAGACCGTATTTATTTGAGGAAGTATCATTTTAATTTTATGTTCTCTACTTCATGATTAGAATAGAAACCTAATTTGCCTTTCATGTAGACTATGATCATGTCTTTAAATGTGTGCTGAGTTACTAATTGTTGATTTTTAAAAAAAATTTTTTTTTTTTTATTTTACCATAATATTTCTGTATTGTTTCCCCCTCCCCTCAATTTTTTTCTTTCTTTCAGATTAAGCTGTCCTTTTTGTAGCCTGATTTTCAGGTCTTCTAAATCTTTCCAAATTTTACAGTTAATAGAATTTTTAAAAATACCTGCTTTATTTTTATGTTGTTACTGAGAACATACACCAGCTCAGCAGTTTCTTCATGTACATCAACACTGTTTACATTTTTTTGAGTTATGCACATGACATAACCCTGCTTGATGAAACTGAAGAGGACCTGAAGCACTTGCTGCAAAAGGTCAAGGACTGCAGCCTTCAATACGGATTGAGGCTCAACATCAAGAAAACGAAGATTCTCCTTACTGGGCCAGTTGGTAGCATCATTATGCATGGTGAAGAGATTGAGATTGTTAACAGCTTTAGTTTACTTGACTCCGTGATCAACACTCTTGGTACAGTAGTCAGGAAATCAAGAGATGAAGTTCATTGGGAAATTCAGCTGTCAGGGACCTCTCCAGATTACTGAAGAACAGCAGTGTCAGTCTGGAGACTAAGGTGCACATGATCCAGGCCATAGTCTTCACAATTGCTTACTACACATCAGAGAGCTGGACAATGACTAGGGATGATAGAAAGAGAATTGATGCCTTTGAACTGTGCTGCTGGAGAAGAGTCACTACCATGGCCGCTAGGAGAACAAACAGATTTGTCCTGGAGAGGATGAAGCCAGGCTGCTCCTTGGAGGCAAGGATTCTGAAGCTTCGTCTGACGTACTTTGGACATGTTACAAGGAGGGACTGGTCCTTGGAGAGGGACATCATGTTTGGGAGGATAGAGGACAGCACAGGAGAGGAAGATCCTCGATGAGATGGCTATATTCAGTAACTGGGGTAAAGGTGATAGGTGTGTCAAAGACAGTAAGGTTGGTACAGGATGGAACAGGATTTAGGGCTGTTATACATAGGGTCGCTGTGAGTCACAAGCAACTTGATGGCATATAACAACAAGATTGTTTTGATCCCATATAGATAGATATTGAAAGCACATTCTTTACATTAATCTAAATTATTGTTTCCTTTAAAGAATATTTAAGAACACTTTTTTCTAAGGTTTAAAGATTATCTCACTCAAATGTTTTGCTAGTTTATCCAGCTGCCTTTTCTCCCGAAAGCCTGGGGTCCATGAGAATTTACAAATTCTTGATTTTTTTCATCCAGCTGCCATTGTTCCAGAAAATCTGGAGTCCTGATTTTTTTTCTATATTTTTTCCCCTGTTTCTAGCAGGATTTTTATGTAGAATCTTTGATTTACATGTTCATTTGTGGCAGCCTGGCACCATCTAATTCTAGTCTCATGGAAAAGAAGCAGCTGTTCATAGAGGCTACTAACCACATGCCCCATTTCTGGTTCTGAACCCTTCATCCTCTGTTGCTCCAGGCAGATGTATACTGGTTATTGCACCTGAGGAGTCCTAGAAGCATCATGTTTCAACATTCAACTTCTAACATTAATTATCAGTCAGAACTCCTCCCTACTCTGAAGGTGAAAGATATCATAGTCTACTTCTATGAAGGTTACAGCATCCTAGGGGGTCTGTTTTCTGTGTCTTATAGAATTACTGTGAGTCAGATTTGATTCATGGGAAACTAGTTTGATTTTGGTTTTGGTATAGCTGTTTACAAGCTTTTAAGATCCCAGATACTACCCAATACATTAGGAGGTTGAACAGAACTATTAGAATGTAATAGTAGGCAAGCTAACTAGGAGAGCGCATGAAAATCATGACCTCGAAGACTCCAAGCCAAGAAGCCAGAACTCCTGAGATGTTTGCTTGCACATAACCTACTCCTTGTGTTGGTTTGTTTTTGTCAGTAATGCCATCTGTCACACAACTTTTGCCATTTCAGCTTTTTACAGGTATCCAACCTACTGGCATAAATTGCATCAATCTTTTGTGCAGCCCTACCGTTTATCAAAAATGGGTGATTATTCTAGTACTGTAAAGTAAGTTAGTACTCAGAAAGCAATAATCCCCTTTAATTCCTTTTCTCTGCCCCTGCTAACTCTTAATTAACATTGTTCTATATGTATTTGCCTTATCTTTTTATATAAACATTGAGCTGTAGTGGTAAGAAGCTGCGCTGCAATCCTGAAGGCATGCAGTTTGATGCCACCAGTTGCTCTGCCAGAGAAGGATAAGTAGTCTCCTCCATGTGATTACCTGCTTCTGAACACACACTGTAGGGTCAGCTATGGGTTGGTTCCAACTCTATAGTACACAGCAACAACACTGATACATAAGTATCTTGAGTTTCTGCTTTTAAATTTTTAAAATATATATGTAGAAGTGAAATTACTGAGTCTCGTGGTATTTCTGTATTTTTGAGAAAAATACAAACTGTTTTCTACCGTGATTATACAATTTTACATTTTTATCAGCAATAAGAATTCCAATTTCCTCCATGCCTTTGCCATCATTTTTTATTTTCTGCTCCTCATCCTTGCTCTTTTCTATCTTAACCATTCTCTCTCTCTCATAGACACACACACATACTCTTTAACACACATTGTCAACACACACAGCTTTTAACATGCATGCACACACACAGATATTGCAGGTGTGTGTATATAAATATATATCCTTAAAGACAGGAACATTCTTAAGACAGAGGAACGTTTACAGAGCAGAGTTTATTACAAAAGGGAGACACTTTCAGAAAGAGATGACTCATATCTTGCCTTTGAGTCAGAGCCA